CCTAGCTATTTCCTCATCTGCATCCAGGTGATATATCCCTGATGAAAACCAAACATCATCTATTTTTCCATACCTATGCTCACGTTTACCTTAGTTTTGGAGATTCTGCAGTACTGCAGCACTAAACCCAATTCATAAATACATTCTTTCTCCATCGCTAACGCTATCACTAGCTTTAATGATACCCAAGAGAACAGAATCCAGAAGAAAAACAAATAGTTGTCATTCATCACTGCTGACAACCTCACTTATCCTACAGTTCCATTCCACATAGAACACAGCATTCAGCCTAACTCTGAAATTTCTTTTCCTGAAATCCTAACTCTAATCACAACCCCTCACCCTAATCCTAGTGTCAGCCTGCACCAGGAGCCCAAGATGAGAGAGAGGACGACACCAGCCCTTCAAGAACCTTACTTTTAGAATAAGTGCAAACTTATTCTGCTTTTCCCTTCTCTGGGTAACACAGAAACGAGTGCGACTTTGAAATGTTTGATTTTCCAGACTTCCCTTACACTGCAACTGAGGGACCATTATCTAGGCAACAGGTGAAGATCAGTCAGTCGTTAACAAGATTCGCTGTTATCATACATTTCTGAGCCTCCAAAAATGCAGCAATATATAGGCTGAATAATTTATTTATCTCTGTTTATCCACAACCCCTTCCCAGCTGCTTCAAGTGATCAATACCAATGATTGCACTTATTTTTTATTTCCTCATCTAACAGAAACCTTAAGTTGTATACACTTTCTTTCATCCCAGACTCAAACCTCAATCCAAACTCAACATATAACTATGTCCACATGACCAAAGCAGAGAGAAAAATACATTGGTTTTTCAGTTTGTTTGACAAAAGACTTGGAAACCTCCTGGAAATATGTGCTTCTGTGCCTAGAGGAAAAACAAGAGGCAATCATTCCTCACTTCTAACACTTTCTATTTCCAGTACATAGAAGACATGGAACTAAAACCAATTTGTACGACTCCTTTCCAAACAATTCACTGGTTTTAACTTTGAAGTCAGTTATGTGGGGTAAGCGGTACCTACAGCAAATTTACTCATTAGCTATGAGTAAATAGCTAATTTCCCTGCTGACACACAGGCTCACCCCAGATTTCCAGGGATAGTAGATTTTCTAACAATTGTGACACTGCACACGTGTGTGCGTGCTTATGGATTTGTACACACATATATGCAGGATACAATTTAAGGTTTTCAGTTTTTTTTTCGTTTTTTTTTTTTTCCCCCCTTTATTTCCTTCTGAGTACATGACCACAAGAAGGTTTACAAGGTTCAACAGAAGTTGAACTGGACAAAAAAACCCAACACAATTGGACAAAAGTTATGAAGGCAGAACTCATTTATCTGCATAGATAACACATCACGAAGTTATACCACTGTTTTCTGTGATCATTTATACTGTTAGCTGTTTCTCGTATTGAACTCCAAAGGCTGCTACTCACCCTGATGGAGGACCTATTATGCATTACAGATTGGGCATTTCTTAAATAATCTTGCATCTCATATATAACACAAGGAATGCAAACCTAGCGATAAACACAGAATATCAAATAATCAATGGAACACTCACAGAGAACTGCTCTACAAACAGTTTATCCGCCAGATCAAACAAAAACTATTAATTGAGCAAGTTTGAACAAACACATACATAACAGTCTTGATCTCCAAAGACAACTGCAAACAATCTAAATGAACTCAGTCACTCTTATTCCTCTTAACAAAACCATCATCTTTGAACCCTGCTAACAGACCTCTCTGACCTCTAACTGAAGAGGCACTTAGGGTATGAGGTCAGTGAAGAAAGGGGCTGTGTGGCAATAACACAATGCTCTCCATGACAGATTTCCCACTGTTTCTCCATGCTCCCCATGAGGCATGGTTGGAACTGCCCCATCCCAAACTCATTTTGCTCATTCTGCCCACACAGGGATTGACTCATACAAGTCCAGGCAGAATGTGGGGCTTCTGCCTAAAAATGTTCTGAAACTGTCTTTGCTTGTTATCATGACCTGTTTACAAGAAAAACAAGAATCACAAGTGAAGCATTAAGCAATAAATCACCACAAAGTCCAGTGAGTCAGTGGTCCACAAAGAGCAGTTGGATCAGCTGTAATCACAGAATCATAAAATGGCTCAGGTTGGAAGGGATCTCAAATATCACCAAATTCCAACCCTCCTGCTGCAGGCAGGGCTGCTCAGGTCCCCATTCAACCTGGCCTCGAACACCTTCAGGGACTGGGTGTTCATCACCTCTCTGGGAAGCCTGTTCCAGCATGTCATCACTCTCTCATTAAAGAACTTCCCCCTTCATTGTTCCTTCTTTTACAGTAAGCTTTGAATTTTGAGTCAATGCCTTTTCTGACTGCCAGGTAAACCATCAGGTATTCCATACGCTAGCAGCCAAGATCTACAAAACAAACAAAAGCACTTACCAGTGTCCATCCAGTTGCATTTTACGAAGTCGTAAGAGAGCCATCGGCCAAAATGTTACACTAACAGCATAACTCTGCAGCACTTATGCTATCTGACAGTTCAATGTTTTTGTTAAAGTGTATTGAGTGATAACAGCTAAAGCCAAAGGGTGAGGAGCTGAACTCCAGGAGCAATAGTTTATACTCTCTGAATAGGCATCTCACCCTCAAATACGCAAAATGAACAGGATAATGCTGAAACCATAACTTACATGGAATAACATGTGGTGCAAGTGTGAATCAGCTCAGTTTGTGCATGACTTTCAGATTAACAGATGAAAGGCAATATGAAAGAATTTTTTCTTATTACTGGATTAAGAAAAAAAAAAAAAGCATTTTTTTCTTTCTTATCTCAAAACAGGTTTGTGTTTTATACTTGAAGAGAGAGCTTTTCCACAGACTTTGTTTGAGGACACAGAAAAGGAAGTTTGAGTTCCACGTTATTTGAGAAATCAAGACTGGATATTAGGAACAATTTCTTCTCAGAAAGAGCAGTGATGCAGAGGCACAGGATCCCAGGGGGTGATGGGGTCACCATCCGTGGAGGTGTTCCAGGACAGTGGAGGTGTGGCACTGAAGGACGTGGCTATAGATGCAGTGGGGGTGGGCTGGGGTTGGACTCAGGGATCTTAGAGGTATTTTCAAATCTTAATGATTCTATAATTCTATGAAATAATTAACTATCTCTTCTTTTAAAGCTCCTGTAAGCTGTGAGAGAAGGAGGTGACCTGCCAGGATTCGCATGCTAGGCACACAAGAGTAAATATCTTAAAGTTGGATAGCATGCATAAATTAAGAATCAGTGCTGGTGGTCATTAAGAACAGATCAGATTTAATGGTAGACACGTCAGCATTTTTTTTTCCAGACTATGCAGATTTTTGAAAAATACTTTTAAAAGATATTTATGCTGTGAGATTTTTTTAAGTTAAATTTTGGTTGTGTACAGCACTGAAGAATGCAAAGCACATCTTATCCAACAGATCTATCATCCTTGTACTCAGTATGCGATTCACTCATCACAAGAGTGAAACATCCTGGTTTACTGTTTCTAGGGCTAAATATCTTCCAAATTCTCAGCTTTTCTGCTTATTCACTTATCTTTTTTGTCTGTGTAGCAGGTGGGCTAATAAATAAGCAACAGAGACAGAATGATATGAAGCAGAAGAGCAGATCATACAATTAATTTGCTAAAGCAAAGCAAACCTTAACATCAATGTGAGACAAAGGAAAAAATAAGATTGTAAAGTTAAACAAAAATGAGGGCAAGGTCCTGAGTGCTATGGTTGTCTGAATGTTTTTCATCAGAAACATATTTTTGTAAAAAAAATATTATATATTGTTTCACAGAGAAGTAAAAACTTTAGGAGGTTAATTTTATAAGTGAAAATACACTATTGGGAAAATGTAACTTTCTATGTTCCCTGTGAAAGGCTCACATCTTTTAGTACATAGAAAACAGTAAATAAGCTGAGACACTATTTTTCCTCACTTTCTGAATTTTTCACAGCTTTGCTGTGTAGAAGAAAAAAAAAAGTACCAGAAAGCAGAGGAAAATACAGTTCTGTAATTCCACATGGTTTTTCGGCAGATGGAAAAAAAGTAACAAAACCAAGAACAGTTCTCTCCTTCCCCCACCCTCCCCCTATTCTTTTTAGTTCTTACACAGAAAGTTACTTCTCAAGAATTTTTTTCAGTGAGGTTTTCTCCGAAAATCCCCATGGGAGAGTTCTTATTTCTACCCATTTCTGCTGAGAGCTACTCTTGTCCCTTGAGATGCGCATGCCTCGCGCCTCTGCCACTCTTTAGTATGACAGATGCTTAAGTCAGTGATTTTATAGCCCCATTTACTTCATTGGCATTTCCAGATTCTGAACTCTGGGTTCAAACACTAATTTCCACTTAATTATCGATAATTGCAATTACACATTGGAGCCATTTCCCTTAACCTCCCTCGTGAGCGGTGGGGGGTGACACAGCTGTACAGAAGTTCCGTCAATCCACCTTCCTCTGCCCTCACAGCTTTATTCCAGGAAGCCTGACATATCCTGATTTTATCTGAAGAGAAGAAAAATGAGGGGCAAAAAAATGGTGAAGTTCTCTGATGTACTGATCCTTCCCAGGTAGCTACATTGGACTGTGATGTAGTGCTTTCAAAAGCTGGCTACTGCTGCTTTAAGAATAAAGATAAAGAACTCACGGAGATTTCAGATGGGAGAAGTGCGATGGTTTAAAGAGCAACAGGTCAGTCTTTACTCATATGAAACACTGGAATTTCACAGCTGACTTGACAAGCGCTGTGGAGGCCCAGCACAAAAGCCTGCATTTCTTCAGAGATGTCCAAGTCAGCTTTTCCATATCACCCCCCTACACAGGACAATTTCCTTGGTTAGACTGCAAAACTACCCCTTGTTCTGCCTTCAAATTCCTTCTCAAGGGATCAGGAGGACAACTCCTGTCAGCCAATATGAGTGACCTGTATGAATTACTGACACCAACTTTCACTCCTGTTTTAAGTGTATTTAACAAGAGACCACTTTAAAATGAACAATAGCAAGTGATCATACCCAACCAGTGTATGTTTGTATGGCAGACTGCTGAGCCCAGGTCAATACTATTTAACTCCCAGCAGGAGTTAATAGCTGCAGATCGGTGACCAAGTTGCAGAGCTGTTGACTGGCTTGCTGCAAGTGCAAGAAGAGCAAGCTGAGGGATGCCTTCACATCACCACGTGACAAAATGAGTTCACTGTAACTTAAGTTCCATCACTGTGATCTCTGCTCTGTCTATTAATTTTCCATTCATCAGTGTCTGTTTCTTTGCATACAGGAACTTCAGAGGAAGAAGAGTCTCTTAAACCACATCTAAAGAGTATCATGTAGTCAGAAGTATTTGAACTGAGCATCCCTCCAAAACTAGAAATCATCTAAAAGGAGTATGAAAAAAGGAGCATGTGCAATAGCAGTTCAGGCACAGAAATCAGGAAATAAAAGAGGGAATTCCAAGGTGTTCCATGTCAGAAAACTTGTCACTGCTTCAGACTTTTCTGGGCGAGAGGAATGTAGGGAAGCCAGCAGCAATGCAGGCTGTGGCACAGAAGGTTGCGTGCCACTTTCAGCATTCTCACATTTGAATGAGGCACAAAACCTGTTTTATGAACACATAATGATGATGAGAATACTTTGCACTTCAAAAGCTGCTTCTCTCATACAGTCTGAAAGATTAACGAATAAGACTTCACAAACTTGTGCTAGTTAGCATTTAACTGATCACAGTGTTTACAGTGACACACACATCTTTATTTTTGAGAAATAATTTCACTGAAAGCTTCAGTAAATTGCTAGGAAGAGGGAGTTATAATCAGGGGCCAAATCCTGTCTACTGCCTTTGTACTCATTCAAAGAGCATCAGGATTTGGACCAATATGCTGCAGCACATTTCCCAGTTTATTTTCCTTTCTCTTATAACCGTATACACTACAATCTTCTTTTGACTCATTCTTTCTCTATTGATTTGATATTGTTATTTCCCTTTCTTCTTCTTTTGATAGTAACTGTGCCTAAGAAGACTAAAACGAGATCAGTACTCTTTCTTGAATTGCTTTCCTTGGCTGCTGAGATTCTCTTTTAAGCTGCAAGTATTCCAAAATCTACAGCTTTTCTGTCATGCAGAAACCACAGCATGCAAATCAATAGACATGCCTAGGCTGCTAAGAGCAAAACTCTTGACAATCCCAAAATAGAGCTTGAAAACACATATTGGTGCACGGTGATTTCTTGCTTCTCCCCCAGTGACCACATATACTTGTTATCCTTGCTCTGACTTCAGCTCCAGCAGCAGTCAGCCAGTCCTGGTTACAAACTACAGGATGCTCTTTATTCTAAGATCTAGGCTATTTTAGTCATAACTGATCTGCAGGAGAGTGTTTTTTGCTCCTGAGTGTTTGGTTCCTCAGAGACATTCAAACTCATTTGAAATACTTAAGGAAAATGTAAAGGACAGAGGGAAGGATGGTGCTGTCTGTAGAGACCTGCCAGACTAACCCTGCAAAAACATGTCCATCACAAACACTAATCTCTCTCTGAAAACTAAAGCAGGTGTTTCCTTCAATTTTTCTCCTGTTTACACATGGTGGCCCAATTCTGTCCTGCTCACTCAGGCACAGTTCCCAGTGAAATCCCTCTCTCTCAAGTTCAGAAGTGCTGTCTCAGTAGTTAGGACCATACGTCTGTACCAACTAGGGGTGCTGGGCCTCATTTTCCTCTGCTGTCATCATAATGTCACTGATTAAAGGGAAAGTACTCCAAAGATACATCTACGTGGCAAAACACAGTGCTGCTGGTGAACACTGAATGATTACAGAGCTTTTACAAAGATAACAAACATCATGTCTTCCTGTCCAGATATGGGCAGCAACATGCAGTAATGCAGGGCAGTAGTGGTTTACAAACTTTGGTCTGGGAATTAAGCAGCAGTGCTAGTGCTGGGGCTATAGAGCCCAGGGGAAGAGCAAAGGTTTCTCACACAGCACTGTGTGCATGTCTTTGCTATTGCTGCCCTATGGCTGGATGCTATAAGAAATGCTTCCTCCCTTGATAAATGGCAGAAGGGTGGGTCCAAGCAACAGAGCCCAATAGGAAGGTGGAGAAATTCTTCATAAAACTGCAGGTGTCTTAAGAGACACTTTACTGCATACTACAGGAAGATCATCTCTTTGTAAACTGTGTGTGTACTATGATACTGAATAACTCTCTTTAAAAAGAAATACTAAATGACAAAATTATTCTCAATATACATTGTTCAGATACTTATAGATGTGAATACAGTACTCAGCGTCAGAGCGTCTTCATGTTATTTTGGTAGGAAATATAATGACAGAAGCGAGCAGAACCCACATATCTGTGCAGTCCTTTCTGTTTCACAAACAGCAGGGCAGAGGTTGGGGAGTCCACACCAGGGGTAGGAAGGGACTGCCAGCCAGCCCCAGCTAGCATAAGAACCACTAAATGCTCATGGTAAGAACAATAAACACCCTTGAAAAAAAGCTGCAATGATAATACAGTCTCTCCAAGAGATGAATAAGATGGCAAAACCACTAATGAGAGAGCTAATTGATTCAGCAGGTTAGAGTAGTAATGAAGAATCATCTACTGGATGTCAAAATCAGATCATCTGACACCTGCAGAGAACAAGTGGGGCTCATCCAAAGTAGTGGGCCTGCTGTTAGCCTGTTAATAATTCCATTGTTCATTTCTCGCTTCTTAATCTATTTGTTTCACCCCCTTTGTATGTTTGATTAGAAACAAAGGAAAACAAACAAACAGCAACAAGCCTGCTCACTGAAACAATGACATTTCACAACAGCTACCTCTTGATTAATGCTATTTTCACCTACTTGCAATGGATTGAGTAATACGGTATTTACTAGGTATTAACTGTTTTTCTTTTCTAAGCTAGAAATGAGGCACCCTCAGGGGATTGTCGTAGCTCTTATACGTTGTTGTTTTATATACTGTTGTATATGTTGGCTTTTGAGGTACCATGATTTTCCATTTTGGCAGAAATTTGTTTATTTTTCTTTGTATTGTTACCACCAATTTTTCCTTGGTGACCAAAAGAGAAGGAATTAAATCTGTATCTGGCCAATTGCAACCTCTAATCATTGGCAGAAAGCCTGCATATAAATAAAGCCTATCTGATGAGTAAGAAACAGAATTATTGCGTCTTTCTGCTGTTATGAAGGTGGGTTTCTGAAAGGAGGAAAACAGCCGAAGTTTTCATCATGGGATCAAAACTAAATCAAGTAGTGGCATCTGTCAGAAAGTCGCCACTCAAAAGACCAGCATGCTATTGTGCCCATTATACACATTTCATCAAGAAACACTGCTGGAACTTTTTATAGCTCTTATTTGGAGTACCAAAGTATCAATATATTAAGAGCTACTGGAGAGAAAAAAAAAAAAAGACAATTGAAAATTTCCCATTGGGTGAAGGATGCACTTACCTTTGTGCACCAAGCAAACATTCTCACCTCTTAAAAAAAGTATGTCAGTAAACATGTCATAAAGTACTGACCCTGGAAGGTACCCAGTGTTAGGGGCTTCACTAAGCTGTTTCCACTGGGAGAAAGAGTTGCTCACATGAACGAGGTATAAATTTGGTACGTCAACTATATAGAAAGAATATAGACAAATCTTTTTCTGTAAAACCAAATAAAAAAAAAAAGAATATGAAAAATGATCAAGCATTTCTTAGGTCCTTGGGTTCAGAAACCCAAGACTTCTTACCATTCATTCTATGTCAAAGGAAATTATTCTCAGGCTTATTTGGGGGCAACAGTTGTACTCATTCATTACTCATGAGATCTGACACTTCTCGCCATCATTCCAGTCCTGCATCTTCAACAAGGCTACAGGAAAACTTCAATTTTTTTCATAAGATAGATCTTCCTATGTAGTTCAGTGTTTTGGATGACAAGTCTGACTTACACAGCTACCCTCAAATTAACAACTGCCACAATTAACATGAAAAAAAATAGTAGCTGATAAAAAACCTGCTTCACTGAGCTTTACAGTAAAAAATGCATTTTAAACTCTTCAAGATCCAACAGCATCTCATCTGAGAGAAATTCCATGATGAAAATGCATGACTCAGAGTGACTGAGATATTACTCTTGATAGAAATGTTTAAATTGTTATAAAGTCTCAAAATTGGACTTTCAAAAAATGTATCTCTGTTCCTACTCAAGGTACTAATACTAGTACATAATTTTATTCCATGTTTTAGATATACTGGTACAACCATTTCTATGTTCCACCCAATGAGCCAAATTCCACTTCCCAATCAAAGGACAGTGATGTACATAAGTATTTTCATGCGGTAGCACTGCCAGCTTAAGCTGACCCACACCCTCCAATTCCAAGTCTTCCCCTACTCCCAGTACAGACTCAGAATTGTTCCCAGCTCTGTATTCTGAACTGGATGAAGTTATGGATCCAGAATAAAAATAAGCACTTTTCTGGCTTGTTTTTGCCCTGTATCATTTCAGGGATCTGGTTCCCCACCCGAGCCCCAGAGCAGGCAGTGTCACAACAGGCAGGGTGGCAAGGAAATGGATAGAAACTGCTTAAGCCAGTACTGCCACCAAAAGAAACGTCTGCCAAATTACAGCTCTGTAATACAAACTGAACCCATTTAGCAGATTCTTTAGATGCTTTCTTTAAGAATAGATAGACAGACAATATCTTATTTACTCTTCAGTTTAGAGCGGGTTGTGTTTATTTGCTTTAACTGTGCTCCTATCCCAAACAACAAGCAGCAGCCAGAAGTATCTGTCCACTGCAGCTTCAGAGACTCCCACTCATCTGCCGGGATGTCAGCTCCTGACAGTGGCAGGTTGCTGTATGTTGCAGCGCTATCCCTTCTGTTTCCTCCTTCCCTATTCTACAGATCTCATTGCCCTCTCATACATCTCCATTATTACTCTGGTTGCACTGACATTTATCCCAGTTTGGTGTTTCTCATGTATCTTCCAATTTTCATTTGCAGTTTACAATCACTGCTTCTGTGTTGGGAGGAAGTCAGTCTCAAATGTTGAACATTTTGATATTGCAAGGTAGTCTCTGCAGGGATACGTACAGCTTCTGCTCTTAGTGCCTTCCAGAAATGTTTCTTTAATAACACACATTAATATTAAAGAAAAAGAAGGAAAATTGGGAGGAAGAGAAGGACGGGTTTGTTATTTTTTCTGACCCAATTTCCATCCATCACTTCAATTAGGTTCTCAGAGACAGATGAACTTCTGCATCCTTTTTCCCTCCAATACTTTCTGTACAACTCCATATGGATCTTCAAAAAATCCTGTCTTGTTGCCCAATCTTCCCTCCCCGTTCTCTGTCTGCATGACTGCCCTATTTCGATTCCTTATTTCTTGGTAATTGTATTCAAACACTCTCTTTGTTCTTTGTTTGCTAACCTGCATTTTTTTTTCCTCTAGTCAGCTTATCTCTTTTTTAGTTCTTTTGATTAAAGTTCTCAATTCATTTAGTATCTTTCTGTTTCTCCCCAGTCCTTCTAAAGTGAAACTATAAAGCACTGCAGGGAATGCTTGTATTTACCTCCCAATTCTCTTAGCCAGGCTTTCATGATGACTTGTGAGCTGTATACTAGTACATCTTAAAAGTTTCCAGTCTTACACTGAGCCATTTCACCCTTGCCTTCCTGTTCTCTGGCAATAGCAATAGCTTTACTTTCTACACCCATCAGGGTCTTTTAGAATTGTGATTTGCTGCTGCTAAAGTCCTTTCCTGATGATCATATAAACTGAATAACTTGCACAATTGGGAAAGAACATCTCTGTTCTCTGGCAGCATAAGTGCAGCAGGAGCAGAGAGGTGATGGGTTGCTACACAGTGCATTTCTCAGCACACACATTATGTCGCAGTTTTTCATCTGCTGGCTGTCTGAGGTAGCAGGGAAATTGGAGGAGTGTTAGCCTGTAATTTTCCTTGGATTTGTCTTACATTTTTAAACAAAAACTCAGGGAGACTGCAAAGAGGTGTGCATCATAGTCAGCCTGGTCTGACTGGGGCTTTTATTGTTCCTCCAAATGATCATTTTTCTCCCTTCTACTGGCAACAGGCTGGTTTGCAGCCCAGATGTGTTTCTAGCCACCACATCAATACCAGTGAGTTCATCTTTCCATTTTCACTGAAGTTGCTTAGTAACAGCAAGGTGAGGGGAAAGTGTGTCCAGACTGCATTGCAATGTCTTATCTTCTGGTTCATTGAAAAAAATGGACTAATGGACCACCAATGTGAAAATGTTGTTCGCATCCGAATCAGCAGATCTGTTTGATATTCTCCAAGGAGCTTTTAAAGAAATAGTTTTGTCATATTTCTTTTCAGCCCTTATATTTTTATGTGATTACTCCTCTTCTATAACACATCTTAGAAATGAAGAATTCTTTACATTTTGTGCATGGCATTTTGACCACCTTGGTAAATATACAAGATAAGTTTCCATATTTTGGGCAGACACACTTTGAATCATTTTTCAGTATCATTTTGAAAGAACAGGCAATCTCAAGAATTTCTAATAGTGTGGACCAGAGCTTAATAAAGACCAGTCTCTTAGATGGCTTCTCTCCCACTGTGAATGTGTAACACCGGTCAATAGCTGCACTGCATTAAAGAAGCATGCAGTACAATTTTCAAGACTTCAGCTCTGGTCAGCTTCAGATCAGTAATTTCTAAAGGCAAATAGTAAAAAAAACTTAGCATTTCCAAAGTCTGTTACAAGATTTTTAATTACCTTTGAGTAAAATTACCTATTAAAGAAAACAAAACACAAAAGTACAGAGAGCAAGTCTCAAGCAAAAGATCAACAGCCACCATTCCTGATCACCAGTTTCCAGCTTTGATTCAGGATAGTCAGGACTCCTGAAGTCAGTCTAGGCTGAATTTTACATCCATGGCCACGTCCTTCTCTCTAAGCTAGTTGTAAGTGAAGCATACCAGCTTAAGTTACTATTTTTACACAAACTCATTTCCTATATAAACATCTCTTTTCAGAACTAGCTCATTCCATCCAAAACCACAGCAGCAGCAGTTATCAGAGACAGAAAACTAGATAGCAACTTCTCATTCCCTGAGAGGCCCAAGAAGAGGGATAACCAAGCCCAGAGAGTGTTGTTCCACTCCCTGCAGCAACAGAATGTTCCTGGGCCAGCAAGAGGATATGAGAGGGGTGAGGAGAGACAGACAACCTTCTTCCCTATATATAAAGCAAACTCCAATTTGCTGTTCTTTATGCATGTGTGAGGTAGTGGCAGTAAATGGTTCCACTTGCACTGTGAGCTCTGTGCTTTGTTTTCCTTCTAGTATTGCTGTATTGACAACCTTTGCTAGTTCTTGGTGACCCATCCCCTTGTCACAAAAGGCTTATCCCATTTACACTGATGGAAAAGGGTGAAGGGAATAAATCCTGAGTATATGCTAGAATATGTAAGATATGTAAACATTATAAGCACAGCTTTTCATTCACCTGTTAACAATGAGCAAAAGCCAGCACATTTAAAAGATGAGTGCTGGGTTCAGTTTTGAATGTAATTCTGTTTAAAAAAAAAAAAAAAATCCGGTTATAATTACAGAACGCTATGTGAAAGTACCTCTTCATCATTACTTTGGTTTTTTTTTATTTTATTTTTTAGGTCTTTATCTCCAGAGAAAATATGTTGCTGCTCCACAGCACTACTTATTCAATACCCTTGAATCCCCAAGGCAAAGAGCTTGGTTAGACAAGCTGGCAGATCATAATTACACTGAATGGGAAGGAATTTTAAAAATCAAGATAAAAAATGTGACATGAAATCAAATTGTTTATTACAAACTTAGAATTGGGTGGTCAGAATCCCATGGGAATATCTTTAAATACTTAAGGGTATGTTATGCATGGCATTGCTTTATACATTTATCATCACTCTTGACCTCAGTATCTTAGCAGGGAATGCATATGATAACAAGTCAATCCCACGAATCCTAGCAAAGAGTTAATATTTCTACTGCATATTTTCCTCTGTATTTTTCCAAAAGGAGTTAGAAAGTCTACATTTTACACACATATATATGTACATATATATTATCAGTACTGATTTTAGAGGAGGAGTTTTCTTCGATAAATACATAAGAATTTGGCCCAATGAAGAGCCAGACTTATCCACCATTGAAATTTAGTCCTACTTAAAGCCACGCAAAATCAAACATCCATTAAAGCGCAGTGTCACTATGCACAGTTTAGGAAGAGGAACTGAAGATACTTAGAATAGGTAACAAGAAAAAGAACAGGGATATGGATATAAGAAATAATTTGAGCCTGTGCAGACTTCCTCGCCAAAAAGTATCAAGGATCTTAAATGATTGCACCCAGAGCCAGAGCACAAGGCCAAAAGCTCCTGCTCGTGCCTTTGGAGCCACACTGCTTTTTCAGTCCCTGCTATGCAGTGCCTGAGCTGTAACCCACAGCAGCGCAGGTTGCAGCACATTCACCAGTGTAAGAAAAAGAAAAAACAATAAAAACACTGGACCATTTCCAAAAGGGATAGAATGAAAGAGAGAAAAACCACGATCAATAAAATTACACTGCAGATTCTTCCAGATTTTCTATTTTTTCCCCCCAGTCTCTTCGTCTTTAAAGAAAGAGGTTCCTTTCTTGGTTAGTGCATTTTGTATATGGGAGCGCTATTTATTCAATGTATTTGCCTTTGTATAGTTGGCTTCAGTTTTTAATATTCACACTTATGTTCTTCTTCAATAGGGTCATGTACAGGGGCATGTCTGTTTGTATTTATCCATTAGCATGTTGCTAATTAAATACGTGTTTCATTAAACTTGCTTTAAGAAAGAAAAAGTTGAGAAGAATGAACATACTGAAGTACAACACCCCAAGGCTCTGAAAAAGCTTCCACAGTTGAGTTGTTAGAAGTAATGCGGGCAGCAAGAGTGTCAAAAGCATCTAATGTTTTCTGCACAGTACCAAGTTTAAACAAAATGTGTGTGCTAAAGGTGGCAGGTAAAGTTAACATGTATCTGTCTGCTTAGAATATTCATGCCTAGGAATCAAAGCACTTCAGTTACTGCTCTGCTGGCTGCTCCCCTGGCTGGCTTTTTGCCACATGCATTATTTTCTTAGAAGATTCCTTTACAGAGATGTACAGCGATATATCATGCATAAATGAGTATGAAGTACTTTAACGGTTTTTACAGGATGAATACTAAGGAACTATTCTTCTCCAAGCCTTGAAGCCCGAGTCTCCACCCAACTTCTAAAATGCTACCAATCTCCAGTGTTGCCCTCTGACATCCGAAAGCCGCAAGGTTCTGGCAGATGTGTATACTCCTGCCAGCTGTACAGCACTCTCTACAGGCTTTCTACAGCACTGGGACTGGAAGCATAGGAAATGCAGGAGTGGAATGGCTCAGTGACAATCGTAGCCTCAGAATGGGCACAAATTAAAACTGAAGGAGCAAACCTACAGGAATACTAGTTTTGGATCCTGCTGCTGGCTGATCTTTCACAAATAACTCTATTGAGTTTTGCAATGCAAGGCTACCTCTGCTGATCCCACCTTAACTAGTTTACTAATCTAGTGTGGCAGCTGACAGTGACAAGTTTTAGCAAAAAATGAACTTGCTCATCCAAGTGCGTGAATGGCCCTGTATCTAAAGTATCACCTAAAACTCTGGTTCCAACACCTCCAGAACAACCTGTTGAGTAGCTCAGACAAGATATGTGGGATCCTTATACAAACAAGGAATTTATTGTTAGGTGAGTACCTGATCATACGAACTGGATAGAAAAGAACACATCCTGAGATAGCAGTGCCTTTGTATAAAGGCTGCACCTACCACTTCTAGAAAGAGTGGGAAAACAAGAAGTCAGATGACACAGTAAAAAAAATAGATCAAGCTGGAGCACCAGGAACTATAAAAGGAACTAGGAGTATCTGAGATGTACAGGAGCATTACAGCAATCTTTAGCTTTGTAGTAATGGGACACTGTATAATCAATGAATACACAGATATTATGATTTAAAAATATACAAGAAAATTTGGCTAAGCAGGTTACTACATCAAAAATAAAATAGATAGAGGACTTACCCTTTTCCTGGGCTTGCTGGAAAACTCCACAAGGAGGGACCTCCAGAAAAAGAACAATCCCCCTTGGTAGTCAGCTCTTAAATGGGGGGTCTAGGAGAGGTGGAACCAGGCTCCACCCCTTCCGGCAGCACAGGAGAATTGCCTTCACCTGTGCTCCCGTGGCTGACTCATTGCTCCCCTCAGGTGATCAATCAGAGGTTCAGACTGTGATTCAGCAGTTCCCATACAGGACATAAAATTAAACGATATGCAGGGGAAATCACCAGCTTATGCAAAACAGAAGAACAGCAGCTGAGAATTTTTTCACGAGGAATATTTATCATACACCTACCATGACTGCTGACACAAAGAGATGATGGTTGTGGATGCAAAGAGAATGACCTGGATGCTAAATGGAGTCAAATAGTACTACTGGCTATAAAGATGAGCTTGGTAGAAATAACAACAACGGCTTCAAGAAAACAGAAATAAAAGATAAAATTTAATAAAAGGTTTGGGTTGTGAAAGGAATTTCTTGTAAAAGATCACAAAAAGACAGATGTAAAAATTTCAACGTATGTGAAGAATTAACTTGGAAGGACACTGCACAAGATACTAAAGTTCAAGGAATGATTAAACAGAGAGAAGATCAAGACTGTGCAGAACAGACAGAGTGAAGAATAGCACAGAACAAAAACGCTTAGCGATAAACAGAGTTATAGAGCAGATGCAGAACACAAAGTGCAAGGATGTCATTCAGCTCCATTGCTACAGCTGCACTGGCAGATGGAAAAATACAAATAAGATATAAAACAATACTCTAAGTTCCATAAGGTTTCTGCTCCATGGTTACAATGGTCCTAAATGCACCAGTTTAGTTCTCCAGAAGAATCAGTATTTAATCTCTAAGTATTTAAATACTACATGTAAACAAGCAAATGCTTCAGACACGCAAATGTACTCTATTTAATTCTGTTTTACCCTCATGGATCTCGGATAGCAGTAGGACTCAAAAGGCAAATCATGTGGTAAAAGTTATAGATGTTCACTCAAAAAGGGGTGCCCTGGTTTTCACATGCAGCCAATTGATCCCTATAAATAGCAGCTGGCTGAGACAGAAAACCAACAAAATTGAATTCAAATTTAACCATATTTAACAACATATGGATTGTTTTCATTCAACTGCAAGATTAAATTTTTATTATTATTTCATCAAACTTGAACTATCATCTGGAAGAAGTTACTTGTTCTCATTATTTCCTTAGCATATTTAATTTCTCTTTATGGTAAAATATTCATGTTCAATCATGTATATTTTCCTTCTGTTCTCAATTATTTCCAGTATGTGTCCATTTAAATGTAAAAATAGCGTAATTAAATAACTTCTTCCTTTATTGTTTAAGAACAATATCCATGATGAAATACAATTTATTTAGCATGGTGACTGAAGAAGATACTCTTCCTCAAAGAATTTATAATCTACTACACACAGGAAAAACTGCAATTTGACAGTGGGCAATTGTTTCCATGACACAATCTAGACTACTGATAAAGGAAAGGTAAGAGACTGCTTAAGACATGCTGTAAAATCCTGAAATCACTTAAGTCTCTTTACTGATTTCGATGGACCTGATTTTCTTAGCAGAATTTCTGGAATGCTTTAATGAAAACCAAATAATTTAATCAGTAGAAAATGGAGAAAGATCATTTTGGGTATGAACTAATTATCTCAGAGACAGATCAAGAATAAAAAAAAAAAAAAAAAAAGGTCATATTAGGAAGAGGGATGGATAGATAAAGTGGAATAGCACAACAAAGAATTAGAAGACAATTTTCACTGATGAATGGTGCTGAGGAATCTGTGGAAAGAGAGAGAACAAAAGGAGGAAAGAACAACCAAAATGGAAATAAAGCAATTTCTGAACATCCGTAGGGGTAGCAAAGGAAACTCAGACTGGAGGAGTATGGTTAGTCAATAGGTTCACGGGATATGAATAGAATGGAGGAAAGAAAAACAAACCATTATAAATGTCAAAGTTAACATAATATTTACAAGAGAGACAGTTGGGAATGACTGGTTCCACTGAAGAGATAAAGGTAGCGGAAGCAAGCAAGATCATCTATAAGGATGCCAGCATTCAGACAGTGACATAAAACCAAACAAATGATTCAAAGTCCAAGAAACTGGATGACAAGTCAGGAAAAGAGATAGTTGTTTTGGACTCATCTGAATATGAGTATTAGCTATGTCATGCATGTCACAGAAGTCACGAGAGAGCCAGTGGTAGTTTAATCCAAAAGTATTCTTCCATCATTACCACCCTAGCAGAAGTCTCCCTGTGAGCTGACTACAGTGGCCTATCATTTAAGACCTGAACTGTTTGCTGATTGAACAAATTAAGTATTGTGAGACTATTTTTGGACTCTACATGACCCTATGCTACAGATACCCTTAACACGGAGAGAGATGTACTCACCCCTACATAAACTTCTGATAGTTAAATAACATCCATAGTAAACAGTCTGAATTAATATTATGCAGCACTTGTATAACAGTAAGACTTAAGTATTCCAGTTATAGAACAGAATGCAATAGTATTAGTCTAAGTATAAATACAGAACTGAAATCTAAAAACATTTTCCTCAAAATTAACACAATAATAACGCATCTTAATCTCACCACAGCTATTCTGATTAATCTACCACCACTAAACCAATCTTTGTAAGTACTTATTTTCCTGCGGTTCATTCTCTTATGGTTTGTCATGCCTTGATATAAAATCAAAACAAGAAATTATTTTTATAGCAGCATTATGACAAATACTTACAATTATTCTATTTAGATGCTGTCATAAAATATCTGGGAAGTGCTAAAATAATTGATCATTCTGTAGTTATGAGAAGTGAAACCATAATGCCCAGAAATAGTCTGGATTTGCCACAGACTCCTGCTAGAATGTTATATGAATATCCAAAATTTTATTCCCATAGAATGGAGAAGTTCATTTCTCTTCTGCTGCTGACATCAGACACAAGGCAAATACTAATTTCTTCATTGTCAAAAATTTTTGCTTAGTTCCCACACTTGAATGAGCCACACTCTAGCACCAGGTCCTGGTTCCCACCAATTTTGTTCCAAGGCAGAGCTCTGTATCTGCAGTGGATTCTGCTGAAATCGGTGAGCACTGCACATCTCAAACAAACCACAGAACTGAAATTTTTGCTATTTGCCTAGTTCTTAAAACGCTTTTTTTCTAAAACCTACACTGAAAATCCAGCAAAGCTATGAGGATTGAGTGGCTGAACTTGATGACTGTCATCCTAACTATATTCATTTTCTTGTGTGCCCCATTTCTAAGCATTTCCCTGTTATCTCCTCTCATAAATGAGTAGTAAATCCCCAGGGCACTCAGCAGAGGTTTTGCTCCAGTGCTTGTAGCACTTTACACAATGAGGTCGTGTACTGTTTTTAGAGACTCTTTAAACAGCTAATACAAAAACAAAAACCCTCCTTGGATTATATAGAACATGCCAGTGAACATTTAGATATAACATTATTAGCTGAAGCTTTGAGCCATCCAACCACAAAGATGTTGGTACACAATCATCCTTGGAACCACACACACAGGAACATACCTATTTCATTCATCTAATTAAGTTAAGATACTCCTAATGTGACCGGTTAAAACAATAGCATTGTAAAATATTACCTCTGCTGAAAACCACATAATCCATGTCTTCATTTCAGTTTTGAGTGAAAATCTCTCCTTAGTGCTACGTATATTAAATCATTATTTGCTTTCAATCTCCACTAGTAAAAATAATGTTATTCCACTTTTTATAATGAAGTGCTTCAAAAAGTCCTTCATATAGCAGCATCATCTGTGTGCTAAGTTGAAGTGTCCATATCTACCACTTTAGAAAGCATTCTTCTTTCTATGGATACCCATTGACATGTGCCCTGCACAAAAGCCCCTTTCTCATTTCATGGAAACTGAGTGTGGTGCTCAGTGAAAAATTGTTCACCACCCATCTCAACTCACAAAAACATATCTAATGTTTGACTACAAAGAGAAATGACAACTGCACTAACATGATTTTAGTGCATCCAGTGTTCATAAAGAAATGACAATTTCAAGCTGTCACGCTATTGAAGAATTCTGAAATTGCTGTTGATGCACCATGTAACTAGTGAACAGGTGCTAGAAATGATTGGAGCGCAGTTCATACTAAATAGAGACCTTTGGAAAAGGAAAATACCTTCTGCCAGACAAATTTGGAGAGGTTCAGCTGATAACGCATATTTATGAACAGCAATAGCAAAAGAACAGGAGGTAGAGAGAAAAAAATCTTGGATGAACAGAGTGATATCACAGCAGAAAAGCTGACTCTTTTGCTACTGAGAGATTATAGCTATACACTGTGCAGGACAGTCAAACCTCTAATAACAACAATGACACAGCATGAAAAAGACTTCCTTCTTGAAAAAGAAAAATCAACCTTTGCATTTAATAAGAATCTTGTTTTCCTAACATTATCAGTATCTGAAGGACAATCTAGGTGCTTTGAGACTCCCCGTGGTCATTACCTCAGTGAAGGCTAAATGGAGTTACCAACTCTTCTGCAACATCCCTCTTTTTACTAAGCTCAACAGCTTAACACATTCAACAACAGATCCAAAACAAAGATTGCCGAAGGTGCATAGAAACTTATTTCAGTCAGAGCACAAAACAGTGGGATGTATTTGGCAGGTTTTAATCCAGAACTAAGTCCCTTCCAAAGAAATCAGACAGTTCAATGCCCCTTTTGTATCTCCCAGCCTGTACAGCTTACCATTTGACCACCTGCCTTAGTGAGAGTTATTGCAATACTGGGGATGGGGACATGGGGGATTTGTGAGCGATGAACAGAGAAAAGGTTTTAACAGCTAGAGATAAAATTCAAGCAAGCTCATTTAACTGTTGGGAGTGGAACTTAAATGGTTGATATCAAACATCCCTCATTTTGTTGCCTCCTACAAAACACCTACAAGGTGCTCAGCAATCTGGCACATTTTGCTGTACCTGCTAA